TTGATGGGTAACTCTTAACGAGTTTAAGAACTCTGGACGAGTTAGAACTCTGTGAAGAGAGTTGTTAGAACTAAAAATTCGGTTAATGACCAAGCAAATATTCTGTTGTTGAAGAATCTTCTTAGATTTGATCTTCTGAATTTGATTCAAATCCTCTATATCCAAGAAATCCGCCTCTCCTGCCTTTCTGTGTGGTTGAGATCCTGAGGAATTCTCTCTGTTGCTGCCTCTCCGTTCCAAAAAGCCAGCCCTTAACTCAGTTGAGTTTGTTGAGTTTTTATAGGTGGATAAGAGGTTGTAACTGCCCTCTAAATCTGCTCCTAAGTGGGCGTGATTTCCTCAGATCGTGGGGAAACAGTTCTGAAACCGTTCGAATCGTATTTGAACGAGTCAAACGCCCAATCTGGCGTTCAGAACCCAACGTCGCCTCTTAGAATTGAGACGCAATCTGGCGTTCAGAACCCAACGTCGCCTCTTAGAATTGAGACGCGAGGTTGGGTGTTGGCTGAACATAAATGAACGCGAGGATCGCTCGTGTTTGGCTTGTTATAGCTTGGAAACGCGGGGGTCGGTGTTGGTTGAACCTCCAGAACGCGAGGGTCGCTCGCGTTTGGCTTGTTATAGCTTGGAAACGCGGGGGTCGCCTGCATTTCCAAAATTATGATGCGGGGATGACTTCCGTATTTTAGAAGGGGTTAGTTGATTTGTAACCTCTCTTACAGAACGTTGCAAGGACCGTTGTTCAGTAATCCTAGCTTTAGCTATTGTGGGGTGTGAAAATCGTCAGATTGTAACCTTCACTGTAGATTGTGGAGACTGCTGAATAGAGTTTTCACCAGTTGTCGGAAGCGTCGTTGTATTGTAACTCTTCTCGATCTATGTGAAAAGTCCTCCATTTGTAGCTTTTGTTTGTAGGCATGAAAGCTATCTGATTGTAGCTTTCATTGTTAGAACCTGACGGGAATCAATCATCCATAGTGACTTTTAGACGAATATTTACCCACAGCTCTCTACCAAGCAACTCACTAACTAAGTCCAACCTTTTTTATTTCTAAAATCATTACACTGCTCATCAGCATCTCTAATAGTTGCTAATATAATATTAGTTATGCTGTTGTCGCAGCCATTAAGATCAATCATCTCAAATATGAGGCCGTATTTGTAGCGACTGTAGAGTTGCGGATGCAGTGATTAGAAAGTTGTCTGATTGTAACTTTCATCATCGGGGCTTAATAAGGATCATCTATCGATTATGATTTTTAGACAACCTACAGAACCCCCTCCAAAGTTTTTAAAAGTTCGCGGTTGACTGGGATGAATTTTCGGAATACTTTGGATCCCAAAACTTAGTAAATTGATTGTTCGCTCCATCTGATTTGAAGACATCGCAAAACTGGTTGTCGGAATGTTGAAATGTTGCTTCCTCGAACCAAACAAAATAGCTTTTGAGTCTTAATGATAATGAAGAATGAGGTGCGCTCCAAATCGAATCTGATGGGTTTTAACGTTGCTGATTGTAATCTGCCTGCAGCCATCTGATAGACTCCCCAGTGGAGTCGCTTGTTTCTTCTTTATTTTGGTCACCTTGATAGCTGACCTTATTTTTTTTATTTGAGGCCGCATCGTATCTTCTGTTGATCATCACGCGTGGGTGAACTCTGTGCTTGAGAGTTTGAACACGTAGGTGAGCCTCGCGTTTGGGATTTCAACCAACTCGAACGCTAGGGTCGAGTTTGGGCGGGATTCTGGCCTCGAATCTCGTCCGTTACGATTTGACAGCTCACAGCTGTCTATAAATAGACCGCTGGAGGTCAAATCAAGAGTCATTCGACTCTTCTTGAAACTTTAACGAAAATCTTCGTTCTCATCTCCGACGAACTATTCCTCTTCTCCTCCGACCAGACTCCATGGCACCCAAGAAGGCAGTCTCTCATCCTTCCAAGTCCGACGTCACCGCGGCTCAGGGATCGGCGCCGTCTGCTCCGGTCGGCGGCGCTACTGCTCAGGTGGACGTACCGCCTCAATTTCCTTTGATCGGCGGTGAGTACGACCTCTATGGTCCTTAAACTTGCTTCGGCAAGTTCTGATCTTTGGATCAACGAGGAAACTCGTTTTACTAACGCGGGGCTGGACTCCGTCGTTTGGTATTTCTTGACAAGGGGTTTGACCTCCGCGTCTTAGATTCTTGACGCGAGGGTTGACCTACGCGTCTGAACTTTATGACACGAGGTTCGACCTTCGCGTCTGAGATTTTTGACGCTAGGTTCGACCTTCGCGTCTGAGATTTTTGACGCTAGGTTCGACCTCTGTGTCTAAAATTTGCCTTTGCGTTGTCTAATTTTTTTCTTTATCTTGTAGTGCGTCATACCAGCGAGCCTCTCCCTTTTCGCTACTATTTTGGGCACGAAGGTGGTGCGGATCCGAATATGACCTTCAACCTGCGCCAGGAACTCCCAGTTTTCTGAATTAAGGAAAAGAGTCGCGTGGAACTAATCACCCAAGCTTCTCCTGAGACTCTTAGGATATTGGTTACGGATGCTCGACTTGAAAATCCGAGTCGTAAGCCAATAGTCAAACCTGGATTCCTCTTCGAGGATTTTGTTGACTTTGAGGCAGTCACTGCTTATGATGGGGACTACAAGTGGCTACGGAAAGTTAGAGAACGCAACCTCTTTTTGCCAAATATGGAGAGGATGTTCCCCATGTCATACTTTCAAAGCGCTTCCATCCCCAGACGCATGGACTAGAACCTCGTCAAGGATCAGGATGGAGTCATTCTCGACACTCTAACTTTTCAAGGGGTCCGCACACTTGGTTATAACAGGCAGGTGACAGCTTTATGGCCAGGTTTATTCGCTAAGGAATATCCCGTCGGTGAAGTGGCCAGTCCGGCGAACACCTTTGTCAAGAAATTTCTAGCACAAAAAGGAGAATCCCGCACAAGGATTTAGAACTCCTGGCTGGGTTCATTCTTCGGTGATAGGGTGGTGGACCTGGATGACCAAGTTTGTTTTGGAGGAATTGGAAGCTCCTCTTGCTCGAGCTGGATTGCAGATTCCCGTGCGGCCTACCAAGTTTGGGATTATCCAGAGTCACTTTCATTTCTTCTCCATATTGGAGAAGTATAATCCTGAGACTTGTTCTTTCTTCACCCCTGTGGGGGAATTAGGCTTCGTTCTTCACGAGATGCATGAAGTCTCGGGTCTTCTTCTTGGGGACTTACCGTACGAGGAATTTGTTCCGGGATCTGCAGAACTTAAAATTTTAAAGAAGACCAGCCCTGAAATTTATGCCACCCTCTGGGAAGTCTTATCTCACTTCCACATTTGTATGCAGAAGACGGGGGCCCGAGGAAGCGGCATTAAACAAGTGTCTTGGGCGGAATATTTATTCCAGAACTTGACCAATAAGGGGGCCTCAGTGACCAGATTATCTGCAAGCACTTTGGAGGAGGTTCAGGCCCGAATCGATGATGCTACCTCCCACTATACCAATGAGGCCAAGGAAGATGTTTTCCCGGCTCATACAGAGTTTGAAAGCTTCCATTATCAAGCTCTGATTCCAATTTCCGACACGGCGTTGTTGGCTGGATTCTTAATGCTGTGGCTCAAGTGTTGCATCGTTCCTACTAGGCCGATTGATGCCCTTGCTGTCGAGGTGGTCTGCCCGGCTGTTCTTTTGGCGCATGGGAGACCTGTGAGCCTCCTCAATGCCATGGTGGGTTACTTGCAGAATGAGTTGCATGAATTAGCCTTGGATTTTACTGATGTTACTGAGGTGGAGTCTGGAGGCCACAAGGTTTTCAAAACTCCCAATCCCAGGGTGCCACTGCCATATACCTATTTGATGGCTTGGTACGTGCTTCACTGCCCTCCCATAATAAGTGCAGCCTCTCCCCCGGGAGACTTATTTACCCCATTTGTGCAACGATTAGAATCTACAAAATGGGAAGGAGGTTATATGGTTAGGATTCGCCAACTCTTGTCGCGGGACACCCACTACCATATCTTCCATTGCTTCCCTGATTTTGAGGGCGGCGTCTACGGAGCGGAATATCAGGACGCAACAGGTCCTAATGGATTCACTCAGCTGAGCGGGGGTGTTTTCCATTGGCTTCTCTCTATCAGGCCAGGCTACTTGGTCTTTCGGCAAGGCGCCAACTGTTTCATTGAGCCCTACCAACCCTATAGGTTCGCTCGCCAATTTAGGTATGATCAGTTGTACGTCGGGAACCCTCGACCTCAACTCTCAGTTGTGGGCAATTTATATGAAGGAGCCAGGGCTTAGTATTATTCTGTGGCAGGTTGTACCAAGGCCATCTTTAGGCTTCCCCACAAAACACCCAACTCCTACACTTCCATAAGCTTCTGTAATTGGTATTTCGCCGCTTCTCAGACTCCCAATTACAACCTGAATACATCTTGCCTAAAAGACATCAGGGATATGTATGCTTCGAGAAGGGGGTCAAAGACTTCCCGCTTGAGAGGGATTGACGAATTTCTGTCTATCGAGAATCAGCCTGCTAGACAGGAAGAAGAACAAAGAGCTGAGCCTGTTCCGGTAGAAGAACAATGAGTGGTCGATCCTCCCGCGACGAAAGAAGCGGGGAAAAGAAAACTTTCTGCGGATGAAGCCGGGCAATATGACAAACAGACTCGTCGGAAGTTGATTCTCCTCCCCCTAAAGGCCAACAAAAGCCCAAGTTGATGGCTGATGCCATCAGAGCTGCTGAAGATGAAGAACAACAAGAATCTTCCGTGGCAGGCCTACCACATAGAACTGGACTTCGTTCTCATGGCCCAGCCTTATCGAGCGAAGCTTCTTCTTACCATCCCCCTGAGGACGAAGAGGGCGAATTAATGGCTGCAGATGCAGAATCTGCTCTGGTGATGGACCTTCCTAGATCTCCTGCATTAGAACCAGGGGGTCTCGAAGAGAATCCATCCCCTCCTCCTTCAGCATTAATTTCATAAGCTGGTGATTTAATTCCCAGTTCTACAATGGGACTTATGAATAGACCAGCTGCTGGCACAAATCTTTCTGAACCTTTCGCCATCGGGGATGATGAGGAGCGAGTAGATTATGAAGGCTCCTCAATTGGTGACGCAGCTGACGAAGATAGAGATGATGATGAGGATGCTGACGTTGGTACCATGCCAGGTGATGACGCGGGGGACGATGAGCATAATTCTATGGATGATATAACCCTTTTTGATGATGCTCCCAAGGTCCCATCCGATAAGGCATCGGGTTATAATCCTTTTCACATCTCTGGTAAGCCTAGTTTTCTTCGAATTCTTCCACATGTTCTTTCCTCGTTCCGACCCTTTTTTCGTGTAGGTTCGCCTCCTACCAAGACTACTGCTGCTACTACTTCGGAGCAGGATCCTGCGCAAGTGTCAGCTCCTCCACAAGAGCAACACTTGCCTGGCTCATCCACAGTGGCTGTTACTGTAACTCCTCCTCCTGAACCGCAGGTCGCGCAGGTGTCAGCTCCTGCGCACGAGTAGCCTCTGCCTGCTTCGTCCATTGTAGCTGCTTCACCTACCACGTTGATGAAGATCTCACTTACACCAACAGAGGCGAGGCCAAGTACGTCTCAGGCAAGAGCAATGATGGCTTTGACCTCAATCCCATCACAATTGAATGTTTCTACAGCTTCTGCAGCTTCAGCACCCGGATCCCCTGCACCAATTTCAATGGCTCTGGGAGCATCCTCAAGCGTCACTTCAAGTATCGCAGGCGCACCTGAGTTCCTTCAAATCTCCTTGGTGTATTTGAATAGCCTCGCAAAGAAGGTAATTGAATATGTGGTGAGTGGTCAGGGAACTTTCAATTCTTTCCGACCTCTTCTGGAGGCAGGTTTAAACGGAGTCAGAAGTGTGGGAAACACTCCTTGGTTCGAGCACTGTTCTGAGATTATCCTCCGTTTGGAAGAACAATTACAGCATTTTGAGACCTTGGGTCATAGAGAGCTTTAGCCACAAATTGTGTCTACCCAGTCTTCAGGTTGCAGAAGTGGCTCGCCGGGAGGCGATAGAACGGGACTTGGCTGAAAGAGAACGTTAAATCACGGAGCTTTGCGAGCATAATATTCGGAAGCAAGAAGAGTTAGAACGCTCGACTACTTCTATGAATTCGCTTCGTGATAGACTTGTTGAAGCTGAGGCTGAAGTCCTGCGATTAAAGGCTGAACTTGCCCGTGAAGAAAATGTGGTCAATATCCTTAGCACCCAAAACGCTACTGGCGCTTTGGAATATCACACGCAGGCTCGAGCTTTGGAACAAGCCATGAATGAAGCAGCGGCTATCATCACACCCAGTGAGGAAGAACTCCAGGCAAAGGCTGAAGCTATGGTGCGAACCACTCACGAGGAGGAGCTAACTGAAGTTAGGACCCAACTTATTTCTTTTGATTTGATGCACGAGTGAATTTTGCACTTGTAATGTTCTTTTGATAAGAACAAGTTTGTCTTGTATCACTTTCTTTTGGTTCTTGAATAAAAAGTGATATTGATTCCTCATTGTCTCTTGCATTTATCGTGTTTTTGATTTTAAGCAACAAATTATGAGAAATACCTGAGATGTATTCCCGATTTAGAATAGATCTCCACAATGATTCTAGTGCAGAAAACTCTCTTTATTATCGTTTAAGACAACTCCAGAAAGTTTCAAACTGCTGAGGATTAATATTTATTATTTTCCCGTGATGGGGCTGACTAGTAGAATTCTTCCTGTGTTATTTTTGCTTGGAACACTGAAAGAAATCTATAAATGCCAGAGGTATAGCTTTTTAAATTGGCAGGGGGAATATTGCTATCAGGGCAATTTTGAGGACTTATTGTTCTATTGACGAGAATCGATAAGTTGATTTTGTCAGAGGTGTGATTTTAACGTGACAGGAGAAATATTACGATCAAGGTAATTTTGAGGACTTATCGCTCTATTGACGAGAATCGATAGATTTTGTCCGAGGTGTGATTTTAACGTGCAGGAGAAATATTGCGATCAGGGCAATTTTGAGGACTTATCGCTCTATTGACGAGAATCGATAAGTTGATTTTGTCAGAGGTGTGATTTTAACGTGACAGGAGAAATATTACGATCAGGGCAATTTTGAGAACTTATCGCTCTATTGACGAGAATCGATAAGTTGATTTTGTTAGAGGTGTGATTTTAATGTGACAGGAGAATATTGTAGCGTCTCACTGGGGAGAACTGCTAAGAAATTGGGATATTTTATTGTCCCATTGAAAACTGGTTATTTATTACTCTGATGAGGAGAGATAATAAATTGACAATGCTCTGAATGATTTTAGAAACTTATTGTTCTATTAATGAGAATCGATAAGTGGATTCTGACAGAGGAGCTATAGCTGCATTGGTATTAATGCCAGCTAAACTTAGACTCTGTAGGGATGATGATCGTCTGGGACATAATAATAACCCGATGAGAATTTAGATTCTGCTGATGAGATACAGAGGTTTTGATTAACACTCTATTAAGAGGGCTCATGACTTTGAGGAATAAATGTCGTGTTTGAAGACACAAGTGTAGGTTCTTCACTTAGAAGAATTGCAACGCTAAGGTGACCTTCGCGTTTGAGGTTCAAAATGTGAGGTTCAGGCCTTCGTGACGCTGGCTTGAGCCTTGCACTTGGGATTTTGAACGTGGTTGTGAACTTCGTGTTTCAAAGATGGTTGGGATTCACTCCTAGAATCCCGTGCTATCTTAACATCTTGACGGCTGTTATAAATAGACCTGAGTGGTCACGTCAAGAGTTACTTGACTCTCAAAATTTTTGGCTATTTCCAAGAACGAGAACTCTCATTTGATTTCGGCGAAATCTCTGACGAACTCCGTCTCCCTCGTTCATAAACCATTCCTCCGATCGTCTGTGTTGATGGCGCCTCGGAGAATGGGTTCAAGCTCCAAGAAGGTCGCTGGAGCGACTTCCGAAATGCCGTCGGCTGAGGACACCGACGGTGTTCTTGTTCGTGCGGGGGCATCATCATCGTTATTGCCGCCGCAGGGGATTCCCTGTCGTGGTAAGTGTTGACCGAAATAACTTGCCTTGGCAAGTTCTTTGAAAACCCTAGATGGGTTCTTGACAATGAGAAAGATGACTCATTCTTGTTCGACGAAAACGTGGGGTTGGGATTCCATGTGGGTCTCGACTCTCGCGTTTAAGTTTTTTCAACACGAGGTTCGACTCTCGTGTTTGAGATTTCGGACGCGAGGCTCGATATTCGCGTTTGAGATTTTGTATTTATGTTAACAGCTTGCTTCTAGTTGCTAACCTCTGCTTTTGATTGTGCAGTGCTTCTCCCAAACGTGCCGCTTTCACAAGAGCATCATTTTGGGTATATCAGAGGACCTAACGCGAATGAAATATTCAGTCTTCGGAGTAGAATTCCATTGTGCACCTTCCCTGACTCGGAGAGAGCGGATATGATTAAATTCCCTTGATGCTCTACTCTCAGAATTATGATTACTGACTTAGACTTGGAGACCCCTACTGGTCATGCCCAGTTTCCCAAACCAGCGTTCATATTTGGAGATCATATACCTGTCGATGATCACCTCACATATGTGGAAGATTCAAGGTTGCTGCGGAGAGTTGATAATCGCTTTTTATTCCTCCCAAACATGAAGAGGATGTACCCACTCTCCTATTTCTTGAATGTGAGCTGTCGTCGGGGTTTGACCTTCGACATAGTCAAAGAGAAAGAGAATGTGTCGCTTGGATTTGGTCGGTGGGCTCGTACACAAATCGGGGGACAACTCAAGGGGTTGAGACCCGGTTTATTTGAGAAGAAGGATCCGATTCAGGAGATGCCACGTCCAGCGAACATCTTTATTCGCTAATTCCTTGCAACTCAGGGTGAGTTCTTTACCCAAATGTTCAGATCCTCTGGATGGGTCTGTTCTGGAGAAGGAGGTTGGTGGACCCGCATGGTTGACTTCGTTCTTGAGGAGCTTAAGGAGTCACTCGCTTAATCAGGTCTCACAGTTCCCGTGTTAGCTACTCGACGGGGTGTCGTGCAGAGTTATCACAATTTCTTCGCTATGTTGAAGAAATATAGCCCGGACAGTTGTACATTCTTCACACCTACAGGAGAGTTAGGTTTTGCTCTTCATGAGATGCAAGCAGTGTCGGGGTTGCCGCTCGGAAAAACGCCCTACGAGGAGTTCATCCCCACCACCGAGGAGCTTTCCTTACTCCCGGAAATTTATGCTACTTTCTGGGAGTTGATGTGTCACTTCCACATATGTGCCCAAGTCTTTGGGATGCGTGGAGGGGGCATTATGCATACCACGTGGGCGGAATACCTTTTTCAGAACTTAAACCGGAAAGATGTAGCAGTATCTCGTGTTGCAGTCATCTCTCCTAAGGACGTCAAAGCTCGAATTAAGGCTTCCAGTGCTACCTATAAGACAGAGTATGCAGAGGATAATTTTGAGGCTGGTGTCGAATTTGAAAGTTTTCACCATCAAGCCATAGTTCCTATTTCTGATACGGCTCTTCTTGCGGGCTTCTTTATGATCTGGTTGAAGCGGTGCGTAGTACCGTCGAAACCAATTGAGGCAATACTAGCTGAAGTTGTGTACCCAGCTACTTTGCTAGCGCATGGGAGGCCTATGAGTCTCCTTACTGCTATGGTTGGCTGTATACAGAATGACTTGAGGATGTTGACCTCAGAACTTCTCAGCGCTTCAGGAATCAAAGCTACCAAGAAGAAGACTGGGAAAGTCCCTCAACCACGTATACCAGTGCCGTATACATATCTAGTGGCCTGGTTTGTGTTGCATTGCCCTTCATTGATGACGGGAGTATACGAGGGTGATGACACTTATATTCCCTTTGTACAGAGATTGGAGTCGGCCACGTGGACTAACTCTTATATAGTCAGGGCTCGACAGCTTCTATCCCGGGAAGACAATTACCGGATTTTCTGTTGTGCTCCAAATTTTGATGGAGCTGGCGTGGAAGATGCCCTCTTTATGGATTTGCTTTTTGAGGGCTCGTCTTCTTTGGAAGAGGGCACATTTAGCTGGCTTCTTATGATCAGGTTGGGCTACCTGGTCTATCGCTTGCGAGAGAAGTGCATCATCGAGCCTTACATGCCTTCTAGATTTGCTAGGCAATTTGGATATGACCAGCTTTACGTTGGCAATCCCAACCCGGCTTTGGCTCAAATTGGGAATTTGTATGAAGGGGCTCACGCATGGTACTTCTTTTCCGCCGAGGAACCCATGTGTAATTTACTTTACCCAATTCGCCGCTCGGCGGCTCCACCGTCGCCGATTTTCGCAGCTGGTTTGACGAGGCTTCTCAAATCCCGGAATATGACATTTATACTTCATGTATAAATGAGATTCGGGAATTGTATCATTCGAGGGGCGGTTCTATAAGGACCCGTTTACCTGGGGTAGAAGAATATTTATCTTATGAACAGGAAGCAACCGGAGCCGTTGAAGCCCCTAGAGATTTGTCTACCATAGAAC